TGTCATATAAAAAAAAAAAAATTTTGGGCCAAAAATTAGGCCCCCTCCAAGCTTGGGCCTGAGGCGGCAGCCTCACTCGCCTCGCCTCAGGGCCGGCCCTGAATGCAGGCTTACATAGATTCAACTGCAATAATTATCCAGACTGGTGTTGAGAAAGAATCCGGGGGGTATCAGAATATTGCATAAATGGAATGTGGACCAGAAGATAATTTCTTTCCTGACCTCACATAAACTGCAAGAACAGATATCATTTTCTTCTGCTCTCCAAATAATCCAACAGGCCATGGGGAGCAATTAGAAGAACTAGTGGAGTTGCACAACAGATTGGATCCATCACAGTTCCAGGCAGTGGATTTGGTCCTGGAGGCGGAGAGTTTAACCGGGTCACTGATTTTGGCCACACAGAAAATATCCTGGAAGCAATCGTCTCCAGCTATTTGTTCAAAAATCTTGTTAAGATTAACCACGGATAGCTACCAAATATCTAGAAGTCCTTGCAAAGGATTTCCAATATAAGCTTATATAGAATTTCATGTCACAATAAATGGAGAGAGTGATACTTTCAGCCTTTACGGGCAGACTTACTCAAATTTTCTGGCAGTGGTTATGTGGGCGCTGAAGATCTTCAAACAAATGAACAGCTTGTTTCCTCTCGATTACTAAAACAAGTAATTCCCTTCAGAATGCCATTTAAGAATAAAGATTGTGTAAATGAAAACTTACCACAAACAGGAAAAGAAATCATCAGACTTGCATTAGTAGTTGATAAGATATTAGTTAATTCGGTGCCAATAAACTACATGAATCAGCTTCTTTGATCAATATATTGGTCAAGATACAACCAATTTTAACATTCGTATGAAAGTAATCACCAGGTGAATGACATATGATATATTTAGATACGAGAGGGTATGCTTCCGGTGCTTTAAACTTTATACGCCATAGCCATAAAATTATCGTTGACCAACAAAAGCAGGCAATACCAAATTACGTTGCATGATAGAACTAGATATCAAGAATTTGTTCTGCAGATCCTGCATTGACGAACTTTAGCCTGTAATTAATATATGGTCACGGTTGTTAATTAGGGCTCGTTTTGAAGCTACCTTAGACCAATTTTATTTAAAAGTTCTTTTTATTAAGACAAAATACTTTCAGAAAATTATTCAAATATCAGAATATTATTCAAATATCTTCAAACGTAATTTTTTAATGTCAAATGCAGCTTTTGACTTTTAAAAATCCTGTCAAACGAGTCCTCATAGAAGAAAAATGATTTCCAGAGTGCTTTTGAGACAGTAATTAAAATCGTAAATCTTTTTGTCTCTTATAGTCCCAATATGGCAATATGGCAACTTATTCTTGCCTCACAAACGATGTATTTAACAAAGATGATGGCCCACTCCGTCCCAATACCTACCATAAAAGGGCAAAGTCATAACAAATGGGAAGTAATCATGCTCAAATTGATGACTTTCATCACATCAAGATGACAGTCTACCGCTGAATTATATTCCTTTCTAATATTGCCAAACTCTACTCTTGTCCTATCTCGTCGGATAGCGAAATTTACCTCAACTATTTCAAGGCATCTTGAAGGTGAATCGCATCCATGAGTATGTATATATCAATAGCCTTGAAAACCATTTACGTGTGCAGTATATGTAGAAATAATAACAGTGTTCTAAAAGGTGCGCCAGATGCGATGCGCTACAGAAACGCCAAGCCAACTGACTTGATGCCTTTTTTAGCGGTCAACGGCAATCATTGACTGCTAATGCGTGCCTAGTGCACATATTATTATCTTTTTTTAAAAAAAATAACAATTCTTTTAAATTAAAATTTAAAGTCTTATTTACATTCGAAACTTATCTTTTTATTAAAAATCTTTGAAAAAATGTATAAATTTCCTATAAATCTGTTTTAGATGTTTGGTGGGTATTATTTTTAATTATTAAATTATTTTTTGATTGGTAAAAAATTAAAATAAAAAATGCCATTTTACGCTTTCTACATCTATGCCCCACCTAAGCACGTCTAGTCCATAACTTGGTCTTCACGCATTGTCACGCTTTACTCCTTTTAGAACACTGAATAATATGCACACACATATGACGTATCTACTTTCGAATCATGCTATATGTACAAACTAAGTTGACAAATTTGGTTTACAAGATATGTGTTGACAACATCAAAGTGAATCATTTCAAAAACAATTTTTGAGATCAATGGCCTAAATTTTTTCAACACTTATTTGTAAACAAAGTTAGTACAACAAAATTAATTGTCTACTTAATTAAGAATTGTCTTAATCCACAGGCTAATGCAGACTGTATGAAGACAAGGTAACCTCACATGAGGTGCATAGTAACTCGGCCGCTGCCAAGAATTTCAGTCCTGTAGAATGCAGACTACAGAAACATTAAATTTTGTATATTATTGTGTATTACGGTTCTTTTAACTCAAATCATTTGTCCTCGGCAATGAGTTGTAAAATCATTAAATATATAAGAATTATTAACCTGAGTAATATTATTCATCATCACTGAGGTTACAAACATAATTTAGGTGGCATTAAATAAAAGGTGAAATTAATGCCACAAACGCCACCTAAACTGTGTTTGTAACTCCAACAAGGATGAATAGCATTACTCTATTTAATTTCACATATCATTTAATACCACATTAACGCCACACATTAGAGTAATGTTATTCATATCCGGTGGGGTTACAAACACAGTCTAAATGACTCTAAATGATAGGTTAAATGAAAGATAAAATTAAATGATTTATTTAATTTCACATATCATTTAATGTCACATTAACGCCACCTAAACTGTGTTTGTAACCCCACTGGGGATGAATAACATTACTCAAATGACTTATTTAATTTCACCTATCATTTAGTGCCACATTTCACCTTTATATTTAAGTTCACACAGTGTTAATCAAAACACCCTTCAAAAAGCCAAAATCTGTTTTTGAATATTTTGATAATTTTCTACAAATATTTTATCTGATTAGAAGACCTTTAAGAGAAAAATAGTTTTCTTAGAAAGTTCTTCTACGAGAAATTAAATCCCTATCAAACAGATTCTAAATTCAGTTTCTATATATTGATTGAAGATAAATGTATATGACATGCACTAGCTACTAGCAATACTTCATGAAAATACACAATTATTAACTTCCTTCTTTTTTTTTTTTCTCAACTTGTCGAATGATTGTCCAAAATGTTGGCCTAAACGAACATGCCATGAGACTATTACACAATTTATCAATTAAAAGCTGAACATACACGCCTGATTTCTCCTTCCGAACCTGTCAACACACCAATCTCGCCCATTTTCACCATTGCTTTTGCAAAATCTGCCTCAAATGATGGTCCTAAAACGGGGCTAAAGAACCCGAAATAGGAGTCCACAACTCTTTTTGTTGCAACATCTTCATAAAGCCTAGCATCAGTTTCTAGCACAGCAAAGCCACTTCTAATGTTCTGCAGAATTTGTTTGTCAAACGTTTGGCCGCTACCCCGGTCCATAGCTAATCGAGTATTAGGATTGCCGTTTTGAGGACAAGTAGCTTTTAACTCCGGTAGGAACCCGGGATTTATCGAGGGGTCGGAGCCACCACCCGCAGTGAATTCATAAAGCCGATTTGTCATGAAGAAGCATGCCGTTGTCCCAATTGTATGTGCAGCTGAGAGTCATAGAAGTTAACACATAAATGCAACAGAAATGGGCCACACGAATTAATGCAATAAATTGGAAAACGCTATAATTAAGGCTCTTCCATCTTCACTATAGTTAGATGAACAACACTGATATATACATACATACGTAACTTTTATAGATATACAAGTAGACAAGTAATTTTGACGACATTAGTTTAAAGTCTTACAGTCATTTATGAACTTGTACCTCTGTTGAAAATTAAATTTAAATAAGTTCTTGGACAGAGCTTTTCAGTAATTAGTTCTATATTTATGAAGTGTCACGCATTGCTGAAAACTTGCTCATATCCGTTATAATGTCTACCAACTGAGAGAAACACAAAATCTGCATGTTTCTTTCTGTGTTGTGTACGTGCCAGAGTGAGGGAGATACACGTAGATATATATACATATAGAGAGAGAAAGGTAGAGAGAGAGAGAGAGAGAGAGAGTGTGTGTGTACAGCTGAGAAGCACAAGGTCCATCCCCGAGAGCCCTTTCTCAGAAAACTTAGCTTTGAGTGTGTCAATGGAGTCGGTAATATCTGGCATATTATCTGCCAAAGATTTGTTTGACACAAGTCCATCTCTTCTACCGGTCGGAACCTCGTACAGAGGTCCGTTTGTCTGAATCATTAATGTGTATATATTAGAGAAGAAAAACACACACACACACACACATGTAAAAAGAGTGTTAATTACCAAAAAAACTGCATCTCTAGCAGCCAAGGCTACTATGTCTGCACAAGAAACAATTCCTGGACACGTCGCTTCCAATTGAGCCTTTGCCCTCTCTATAATTTCAAACCCTTGCACTCCTTGATGCCCAAATGCACTCTTCTCGTCAGTTTCGAGGCCAGTGGTTATCAGAATTGATCCATCACAGCCCTGAAGAAAACAGAGTATATTAAAAGAAGGATACACATGAATATCAAGGAATACTCATTGCATGCAGAATTTTTAAGCCAGGGAGAGAGAGAGTGAGAGACGTTAACAAAGCAATCGTGGAAGTGAAGTCTTAGCAAGACGGGCGGAGCATTTTGTTCGGAGGCGGCTGCTTCACTGACGACGCGGCGGACAATCGATTCGGCGTTGGGGCAGGTGTTGGCATAGAAGCCAACTTGGAGGCCTTGTGAAGCCCCAATGAAACAACTCAAAATCAGTATCAGAAGCAGAGGTACCATTTTATGAGTCATCAGTAATACTGGTTAATATTATTATAATTAGCTTTGCGTAGAATTAAAGAAGAGGTGTAGTAATTAATACAAGAAGATGTGAGGAATGGTATATATAATTTACTGTCTGTGCGTATCTTGCTCTAATAATTTGTGAGGAAGATGTAAGAACTTATATGTAATTGTGCTTTGGGGGATTTTGTGTGTTTACATACGTGGCGGGGTGGGCCTAAGAACCCTAGGTCAAGAGAAAAGTTTCGATTCGACGTTCTTATTTTTCACATGGCCCATTGATTTAAATCACGAGACTTCAGATCTCGAGTCAGTCAAATCGTGTTATCTTGACATTCGACATAGAAACAAAGTGTGCCACATCGAATCGTTACTTTTGGGTGGCTGGAGGTCTCTTTGAATGAACAATCCTACTTTTATCGAAACTTCTAACAGTATTTAGGGGGTCGAGGTTTTACTTAGAAGGCGAAACATGGACGTGCTTAATAACAATTAAATATTCTTCCTTTTGCAATTTTTAGCATCAAGGCTATATGCAGTAAATAGTATTGAAATGATAAGATTTTTATGTTTTTTCTTTAATTAAATTTAGTGACATCAAGTTCATGTACACATGCATCAAGATGACAAGAATAATGTGAATTCAATAAAGTCGTATTAAACGTCATCTAAACCTTTTTTCCTCAAACTGCCATAATTAATTGATGTTAAATATATTTTCCTAACTTGCCTGTATGTCCAAAAAAGGAGTCAAATTATTGTCACGAGGTACCCACACCCACACGGTCACACTTTAAGTGAAAAAGTTAAATCGAAGAAATCACAATTCGTCTTCCTTCTACCAACTATAAATTACAATTAGAGTATCATTATCTATATATTCATAAAATTGGAATTTATTTCGTGATCCATCAATCTACTATATTAATTTTAACATAATTTAGGTAAATCCAAACTAATAATTTTGATATAAACTTTGTTTTTGATCAATTATTGCCTAGGCATGTCTAGCGATAATGCAAGAAAACTTGGAAGGGAAACTAGAAAACACTTGGATACAAATGTTGATTATGAAAAAAAACCAAGGATAAGAGTAATCAGCAAACAAACCAGTTCTTGAAAACATTGGGCAACTCATTTTGTAGAGGAGCTGGATATCTTTATAACATATTAAAGAAAAAAAACAAGTGAAAATCTTGTATATTTTACTTTTGAGTTGCTCCATAGTAAGTTTGATGCTTTCGATAATCAATCATAGATTTTTATTTATTTTTTAATCATAGAGAGGGAGGCACGAGATCCACATCACAAAAGTTTAAAACAAGGGTATCATATAAACTCAAAAACCGGAATCGAAATTCTCCCATAATATTTAAAAACTATACTATGCTCATCGACCGTGTTTACAAGACTAGTCAACATAATATCTTGAAACGAGTAACCCAATTAGGGAAGTAAACGAGCTGAGCACGCTCGTGAGTAAAAAACGTTTGCGGCTTAGGTAAAAACGGATCGAGTTTTTTTGGCCCGAGTCGAGCCGAAAAAATGGGGGCTTGGCTCGAGCTTTCAACTCGGGCCTTTCCGAGCCGAGCCGAGCCAAATCTGCCTTTGAATTTAAAAGCAGCCATAGCTGCCTATTTCCAATACACGGCCGGCTAGGGCCAATACTCGAAAATGAGGCTCAATTTGAGCCGGGGCTCGGTTCCAACGAGCCGCGAGCCGAGTCTACTTAGACTTTTCCTGGGTCCATCCGCGAGCAGCTTGAACCGAGTCAGATTGACATTCCTAAACCGATAGAGAACACAAGGCAAGATAAACGTAAAAGTAATGTAGAGTCAGGATTTCAAATCCTATCATATCAGTTCGAGACGAGAAAAATTGCCAAAATATGTGCTAATTTCAACTTCACTCAAGATTGTGGAATCAATTCACTACGAAGAAAAAGCCCTTGCCCTAACAGGTGATAGATGGGTCACAAGAAGTACTTTGGGAACATTAATCAACAAAACATATTTCAGAAAGGAAGTATAGATATATAAAACAAATTTATATTTTCCCAAAAATTCACAAACTTGAAAGCTTTGTAGCATATGCATCCTTCCAATAATTTTTGCTCTCTTGATGACAGAACAAGATGGACGTGATGGTACAAAATTTATGTCACCACTTATTACAAAGTCTAAACACATCACACTATCGGCCATAGATTTCAAAGCTTGCAATCTTGCAAGTCATTAGATGACCCAAAATATAAAATCTTATGAAACTGGGGGAATGTGATGACAATTCTTTTCTCATCTTGTTCCAGGCAACTACGGGGAGAGTAATTATGGAATCAAATGAATAGGCATAAAGCTACGGGAATTGTTAACGACAATGCCATTTACAGTTTTAGTAAACAAGGTACAAAACTGAGGAGGATGTCAAATATAGTGATGGCAATAATAGAACTAGTGAAGCGGTCTCAGGAATCACCAAGCACTCAAACATGATATCTAAATGATATATTTGATCCTCTGACCCATAGTTGACAATCTTTAAGTGACGAGACAATCAATCATCCAAATTCCTGTTTTACAAAAGAAAAGAACTATTTGTCAACCTCCATCAGAAGACATGCCAATGAACTAATAATCCATTATGAAGGTCAGTGAAAAAAACATTGCATTAGCAGTCTTATAGGAAAAGGCAGTCCATGCAAGCAGTGTCTTCAAAAGTGCCCATGGCACACACCTTGCGGTCTGCCTATATGTGACGTGCGCATTGGGGGACCTCACAGCCTTGTTCTTTTAGTGCATAATTTACTGATCCCAGTTTTTTTAGCTTTAGTCTCCTGATCAGAACATTTATGGGTTGTTTGGGCTGTTTCGAACACATACCAACCCTCAAAACTAGGGAAAAAAAGGAACTGGAGGTTAGGGAAGAGAGAAGTGAAAAGGACATAGCGCCCTCGCTCTCCACATATTCAATTGAAGTTTGATCACAGTCCATCGGTAAGAAGCAGCTTTTCAATACCAGATGATTGTCGGCAGGCCACCAATATTTTGTTTTTATTTCCTCTAGATTTTTCATTTTTTTTTAAGTCAAAGGAAACAAAAATACTTCAACATCCAAAACTAATATCATGTCACTTCTTTTAGATTTTTTATTTTTATTGTGTTTTGCTACTAGTTTCCTAGGTGTTTTTCCTTTTACTTTCTGGCAACTTGCTTAATCAACATTCACCCAAAATTACTATGTTTACATTATATCGGCCAATACCTGCAGAAAATTGGGTGTGTACTTTGGGTTGAATTCTTGTAGTATTTTGTAATTTTCTATCTATGTTCGTTGGGACCGACACCTCAAGGGAGCCTTACACCTAGCCTCCCCCTTGATATCTTATTTAGCCTTTTTAAACATTGCTTGGAAGAATGACATGTAATAATAATAATGCAGATTTTTGGGACATGTAAAAACATTGAATTTCATCAGTAAAAGAAAAATTAGGAGTCACAAACATCTTTTATACCTGTTATACCTAGGGCTCTTCTTTGTATAAGCTTCCATCTGACAAAATCAATTTGTTATCACATTTCACAAACCAACTAATCTTTCTATTAACCAAAGAAACAACTGAGGCGTGATTTTCATTCTGAGATGCATTAGACAAAGTTATCTCAGCATCACATTTACTATACAACTATTACTACTCTCTTCCAAAGGCAACTCATGTTTTAAATCATCTCGCTGATGATACTGAGGTTCCAAGGCCACTCTGTTGTAAAGACCAGAATTGCATTCTCCAAATACTAAGTACCTAGCCACTTTCTTGGCAAGCCTTCAACTTGAAGCTAGTGCGCTTGTAAATTATGGGCTCTTGCCTAAATCTTTTTATTGCATCACTTGGGATCAAAGGCTACTCTCAATCTTGCTGGTTAAACTTGGATTTAGAAACCATGACAGTGTCATCATCTGCTTGCCACAACTTCCTCTTTTTATCCCTTCTGTAAATATTACCATTACTATTCAACGGACACCAAGGCTTAGCACCATTTGAATATAAATTCTACTTCGAATCATCTTGCAGATTATAAATAGATTCAGAAACCATGGCATTGTCATCATATACATGCCAAAACTTCCTCCTTTTGTCCTGCTTGTAGATCACCATTGAATCTCAATTGACTCCAGACTTAGAGCCATTCAAATGTAACTCGTCCCTTGAATCATCTTGCTGACTATACTTAGATTCAGAAACCACAAAGTCGTTGACATCTACTTGCCATAACTTCCTCTTGCTGTCCCTCTTGTAAGTTATTAGCCCATGTTTCAATTTATTTGCTTGAAGGCAAGAATCATTCTCGCTAGTCCCTATAAGTATTTCGTTCTCCATAACATTAATACAAGTGTCCAGATTCCAACCTTCACCATTATTCCTTCCTAAACCCGATCTTTTAGCCGACAAGCTAACAGAATCCCTACTCTTCAAATTCTCTAAACAACTTGACTTCCCAATGCACTTATTCCTCAAAATCCTTGGTGAACTATTCATTGTACAATGCAATTGTATTGCTAATTCCACATCATCGACACCTCAATTGCATCGCTACTATCACTAATACATTTCTTACCGTTCTTATCTCTATATCCAACACATTTTCTACCAACTTCACTGCATTCTTCGCCTCCACAGACTTCCTCAAAGCCTTCTCCTTTCCAATGTCTACCATCTTCACCTTCTTCTCCACCTCATATTTCTTCCCCTTCTGCCAATCCCCCTCAGTTGCACAAGATTTCACCACAACCTTAAAATCACTCCTCCTATGAATCCTGCCATCACTCTTTAGCCCAACAATCCACACACACCCTAACCCCTAACCCCAAATAACACCATGGCGGGCAATCCCCGTAGTTCTTAACACAATCTTGGTGAATTTGGCGACCACAATCACAGCATTTAACAATATTACCTGAATTCGCCGTTTCTTTGAAGCAGTAAGAGCATGTTTGGCCTGATTGAACTTTCTTGCTGCATTTTCTACAGAGCAGAACAATGCGCCAGACACTGTCGAATGGCTGCAGCCGATCTTCCGGGTTGCTATGATTGATTCGGATCCCTATGCAATGACAATCTGGAAGGTCCCTGGGGGGCCGGACCCAGGGGAGTCCTAGGGTTCACGTGCCCCAACTTTTGAATTTTTTTTTTTTAAATCATATTTGATATCGGTTAAAATATAAATTATGATCTAAATTAAAATTAACAATTAATTTTAATAACATATTTCATGAAATTCATAAATATTTAACTTTTATCAAAATTTACTAAAAATTTGATTTTAATCTCCACCAAATAGGGGCAAAATTATAATAAATTTTAATTTCTCTTTTTCACTCGTCTTTTAAGAAAATCTTACTTCCCATCAAACAAGGGCGAAATATTGCATTTTTAATACCATTTCGAAGTGTTCACGATCTAATTTTCTATTTCGTTAATGACGTACGAAACGATCAATCGTAGCAAATGCTACGACTTGTCAAAGTAAGCCGTTCAAAATTAGTATTTCGAAAATTTCAATAATATGCTAACTTTAAAAATTTTTCGACGATTGTAAGCTAATTGAATTTACAAATTGTTTATGTCATCTCAAACCTTATTTCGAGAACTACATTATAGGCATATCAAATAATCCAAACAGATATCGAAAAATAGTTAAAAATGCGTTAAACTTGAGTTTTTAAAAAAGGTGTTTAACTTGCATTTTTTTAAAAAAAAATTCAATTATTTCATTAACATTTATCATTTTTGCAATACAAATTTTTCAATATAATTTTCATTCTTTTGTTAGGAAATTTTATATGGAATATGATATAAAAACATTTTGAAATTTTATATCTTAAAAAGTTATATCCCTTGTAAATTTTCGGATGCAAAATTACATGGAGTATGATTTTTTTGGACGTAAATTTTCGATTGTAAAATTTCTTCCAATTTCTTTGCAAGTTCGAATGTGCCCTCCTAACTTTAAACTTCTGTGTCCGCCCTTGTAGACCCTGGTCCTCTTATCGGACTGTAGAGTGGTTGTTGACGAAGATGAAGTGGAAATCGGCGGCGGGCGGGTAGGTGAAGTTTGGTTTTAGGATTGGAATTGTGATCAGCGACAAGAAGCTTTTTGGGTGCCATCGGATTGGCAAAGGATCTCTGATCCTGTTGAAGGGGTTATTCAATTAGCCCATGTTGGGCCACATTGTGCCGCAATGGAGTCATGTTCTATTTACTTGGTCAGTTAGCATCTTTTGTGTGTCTAGTCATCTATGTTTCCGTTACAATCCAAGTCCAATCTATAAATATGTTCATTTGAATTCAATGAAAGGCATCAGATGCCTATTTCCAATTCAGTGAGTGTGTGGGAGAACTGGCATCGCTAATAGCCAAATTAATTGAATTTATTCTTTTACATTGTTGAATTGCACTTAACAGTGGTATCAGAGCCGCGTTCGTGCGAAATGGCAGATGGAACTAGGCAAGCCCAAATTCTGGATGCGCTGGCAAAAATTAAAAGGGAGAATTCGAACTTGCGAGAAGAAAAAAAGCGACAACAAGGTTTGCTAGAAGTAGTATTACAACAATTAAGCACTTTGGCTTGTTCCTACGAACGATTGGTGGCAACTCAACAATCGGGTTTGAGTTCTTCAAATCAGAACTCAAATGTTAGTAATAATCCTATATTTGAAGGGAATAGGGGGATTACAGCTAGGTCGCTTAGGTTGGAGTTTCCTCGATTTGATGGGGCTGAACCAAATGAATGGATTTTAAAGGTGGAACAATTCTTTTCATAATATAACACCCTAGAGGCTTTAAATAGCTTTCTTTCACATGGAAGGGAAAGCCCTTTCATGGTACTTTTGGCTCACAGACTCAAGTCCACTGACCAACTGGGATAAGTTTGTGGCAGCCTTAAGAGTGAGGTTTGGACCCTTCTCTTATGATGATCCAGTGGGTTAGTTTACTAAGTTAAGACAAATGGGAACAATGGAAGAGTACCAAACCCATTTTGAGGAATTATCTAATAAAACCAAATGATTAACTGAGGAATTTCAGATAATTACCTTTTTGAGTGGGTTAAGAGATGATCTCAGAATTATTGTCACCATGTTCAAACCCACCACCTTATCTGCTGCATTCGGCTTGGCCAAGTTACAAGAAGAAGAAATTTTGAGAAGAACCCAGAAATATGTAACCCGAAACAGCCACAACGCCCCAACTCGAACACATTTCCCAAACTGCCGGACCTCCACCGATCCTAAGACTTCCACCTCCACCTAATAAACACATTCAGACCTTCCAAAACAACACCAACAAAAATCCAGACCAAAGCAGAAAACAAACCATGACTATAAGAAGGATTTCATCAGTCCAAATGTAAGAAATTAGGGATAAAGGGTTATGTTACTATTGTGATGAGAGATTCCAACCTGGGCATAGATGTAATAGACCCAAAATTTTCTTATTAGAAGATATTGAAGAGGAGCAAGAAGGTGAAGAAAATGAGGGAGCCCTAACCGTAATACAACCACTAATTACCAATGGAGGAAAAGAGGGAGAAGAGGAAGCTGAATTACCAGGGATTTCTTTGCATGTTGCTGGATTCCTAGCACCAAAAACACGAAGCTAACATGGGTTATCAACAAAGTCGGTGTAATTGTTTTGATTGACACAGGAAGCACGCATAGCTTTATTGACCTAAGTTTAGCAAGGAAGGCGAAATTGACAGTGGAAGAGAGCCAAATGTCAGTAAAGCTGGCCAATGGAGCCAACATCCCTTGCCTTGGTTTATGTAAGACAGTCCCACTCCTATTAGTATGTTTAGACACTATACCAGACATTTACTTGTTGGTTTTGGGGGGGATGTGCATTGTTTTAGTCATGGATTGGCCAAGGGAATTGGGGACAGTAGTATGGAATTGTACTGATTTAATTATGTCTTTCACTATTGTTAGCACTGATGTTGCATTAAGAGGAATACAGCTGCCCAGTCGAGTAGTAGATGAAGCTGAATATGCGAAAACCCTCAAGTATCCTTCTGCCAAAGGAGTTTGGCTACAGTTTCTGGACGGAGCCAACAAAGACCCATCTAAACCTATTCCAGCCGTTGTACAAGAGATAGTTGACAAGTTCAGAAAGGTGTTTAATGAGCCAAGTGGTCTGCCTCCACCCGGAGTCATGATCACAAAATTACTTTGCATCCTGGTGCTAACCCTACTTGTGTAAGACCTTACATGTATCCATATTATCAAAAGGAGGAAATTGAGAAGGTAGTGGCCGAGATGTTGAGAAATAGAATTATCAATAATAGCCAAAGTCCATATTCTTCTCTAGTGTTATTAGTGAGAAAAATAGATGGAGGATGGAGAATGTGTGTGGATTATTGAGCTCTAAACAAAGATACCGTAAAAGACAAATACCCAATACCCAACATCAATGAGTTACTGGATGAACTCCACGGAGCTCAGGTTTTTTCTAAGCTGGATTTATGTTTATGGTACCATCAAATTCGAATGAATCCTGAAGATATACACCAAAATTTGCCTTCAAGACTCATGAGGGTCATTATGAGTTTTTAGTAATGCTTTTTGATCTTACCAATGCTCCATCAACCTTTCAAGGGTTGATGAATGAGGTATTCCGACCTTATTTAAGGAAGTTCGTATTGGTTTTCTTTGACGACATCTTAATTTACAGCAAGACCCTTAAGGAGCATATGCAACACTTACACACTATTTTAGAAATCTTACTATCTCACCATTTTTTTACAAATATTTCTAAGTGTATTTTTGGGTGTAGTAAAGTAGAATATTTGGGGCATATTATTTCAAAAAGAGGAGTACTAGCTAACCCACAGAAAATAGAAGCCATGCAAAGCTGGGCAGTCCCTAAGAACCTTAAGGCGTTGAGGGGATTCCTAGGACTTACAGGGTATTACCAAAAATTCATACAAGGCTATGGAAGAATCGCAACCCCTTTTACAGCCTTACTAAGGAAAGATGCATTTTATTGGACAGAAAAATCCCAATTAGCTTTTGAAGAACTGAAAAGAGCGATGGTAAGTCCCCCCATGTTAAGACTCCCAGATTTTACTAAGGATTTATTATTGGGGTGATGCATCAGGAGAAGGCCTAGGGACAGTTCTAATGCAGGAAGGGCATCCCATTGCGTATTTGAGCCAAGCATTGAAGGGAAGGAGTTTGACCCTATCCACTTATTGAAAAAAAAAAACTACTAGCCTTGGTGTTAGCTATTAGGAAGTGGAGACATTATTTATTGGGACAGTCTTTCAAGGTACGCACTGATCAACGTGCCCTGAAATTTTCGTTAGAACAAAGGGTCGGGACCCTTGCATAACAGAAATGGATAACCAAGTTATTGGGGTATGACTTTACTGTGGAATATAAAAGTGCAAAGAACAATGCATTAGCGGATGCTTTATCAAGACTATCCCACTCAGAAGACCCAAACACTAAACCCAACCCACTCAACCAGACTACCCCAGACAGCCAATCCAATCTAGGGTTAGCAATTTTCCCCGCCCCGCCCCGCCCCGCCCCGCCCCATCCCACCCCGAATGGGGCAAAAAAACCCGCCCTGAACTAATTGGCTGGGCGGGGTTCGCTGCCCATCTTGGGTAGCGAGGCGAGGCTGGCCCCCGCCCCGTGAAGAATAAAAAAAAGTTCATGACATTAAATCCCGTTTCAAAATTTGTCATTGAGCAAACTGAAAATTTGTCATAATTTATATGAATTTTGTGTAGTTACATGTCCATTGTATTATTAAAGGACAAGGAAATTACTATGAATTTATATGAATAAAATAGCAAAAGATTTTAACAAAATACATAAGAGATGAGCAAAATCCTAGAAGGAGAAGGACTCACCTCCATCGCAACATGCATCATCAGGACTGCAAATGCACACCAGAAGAGAAACCACATAACAGGTTATACAGCAATACTTAAGAAATCACAATACAAAGAATATTGAAAAAATGTAGACATATAAAACAATGAATTGTGAAAAAGTCAGTTTGACATTAATGAACATGGAATCTTCAAGCTCACCCAAATATAACAGCATTCCAAAGCATAATATTGTTATCTTGAGGGGCACAGCTAATACCAGCAGGCGAATCCTGCTGCAACCTCTTGAAATCCCTTATAAGTCTCTTCCTAGACGGAGTCGACATCTTACTTATCCACATATCAGAACAATTAACCGCAGCAGCAAAAACAATCATAATTATTTAATTTTAAAAATGGCAATGGAGAAAAACAACATAAAATCATTCTAACAACCTTTCATCCTAAATAAGTTCAATTTGCAATCATGCCGCTCAGATACACAACAGAATAATTGATAATGACAGAAAAACCAAACCTAGACTGAATTTTCCCAAATTGAGGAAATTAAAAGTTCTTTACAAACCAAAATTGTAGTTACCCATTTCCAGAATATGGACAGCTAAAACAATCTAAATAAAACATTACCTAATAACCGTACAATTCAGCTGAATTTAGCAATTTATGACCTTTTTATAAATACCCAGAAGGGACAGAATATTTATCATCAACTAGATAAATCTGAAAAGAAAAGCAACAGAAATTAAAGGGTTCGTCTGTAGCAATCAAGATTCAAGGACACTCTTTCCCCAATCTAGATCTATTGTAAATCATTCTAATTGAGCAAAACATGCATGTTATTATGCAGGTTTACAAGGATATTTACGATATCTATAGGGGGCTGAAAGAGAGGCAAAGCATTAGCTCAAAATTTTTAAAATTTTGAATTTGTATTTTAAAGAAAACAGATAAAGATTCAAGTCGAGATAAAAGGAGGACAAAAAGGATCAAGGTCGCTTCAGGCCATATCCCCACAAATTTCGCGAATATCATCATTTGAACGCGATATTGAAAGATGTCTTCCTACAGGTAGGAAAAAGGGAAACCTTTCGCCGACCTCCGCCTAAAAAAAAGGAACCTGCTGGAAAACACCAAGGGAAGTACTGTCGTTACCACAGAACGACATGACATTATAGTATGGCGCCTTCAGAACATGAGGTCTATGCCCCACCATACCTAGAATGGTTTAGATTTTCAGAAGGAGATGCACAAGGGATTCTACAAGATCAAAGTGATGCGCTAGTCATAGCCATGACTGTTGCGAGAGTACAAATACGTCGAACCTTAGTAGATAATTGGAGCTCGGTAAATGTTCTATATTCTAGAACTTTGGAACAAATGGCATTACCTGAACGTTACCTTCGGCTATATTCCAGAAGATTATAAGGATTCTCTGGAGATCCTATTGAAGCCCGAGGATAGATTGTACTCAATGTAGAGATAGGCAAACCTCCTTGCCAAATGAGGATTTTGGCTGACTTCATTGTTGTGGATCTACATTCAGACTATAATGACATACTGGGAGGCCCATATTGCATGAACTACAAGCTTCCACTTCAATATACCACTGTTGCCTTAAGTTCCAAACACCAAGTGGCCCAGGCGTGATACGTGGAAACCAGAAAAAAGCTAGAACCTATAACGTCGATTTACCTAATCCCCAGGTCCGGATGATGAAAAGACAACACTCCTAGCAGGCAGGGGTCTCAAAGTTCAAAAGACCCATTACAGCCAACCTCACTGAGATCGGCATTACAGAAAAGCACCGCAGGAAGCGAATGACAACCTGCTCTTGTTCGAGGAAAAAGAAGTAGATACCAATCATTACCCTAGAGTTTTGGTGATCTCTGTGCTTCTATCCAAAATCAATATTCCCAAAGTCTTGGTAGATACAGGGAGCTCTCTCAACATACTTTATGCAACACATTGGAACAAATTGGAATTCCACTCGTTTCTTGCGACCATACCCACACATGATCATGGGGCTTGATGGTATACTTTATGAGACAAAAAGAGTAATTAAACTCCCCATTGAATTTGAGGAGTCCCCTAGCCGAACTGGGTTAAGTGATGAATTTGTTGTTCTACACTCGAGGTCCCCCTACGATGCTATCATGGGGCAACCACTACTATTTGATCTCAGGGCAATGGTATCAATGTAACATTTTTCTATCAAATTTCCCACTCCTCACGGTGCAAGACAGTCAAAGGAAACAAAGACATTGCTAAAAAATGTCAAATGGTAGTCAATTCAAAAGGGGAAAGGGTTTATTACCCTCTGGAGATCTGCATTGGCATGTACAAAAGAGCCCTCAAAAAGCTCGTTGGACCCACGATTGAAAGTGCGATGAGGAGAACCTATGGAAGAACTGGACATCATTGAGGTTGGTACTAACGATCTCCCAAAAGAGCTTAAGATCGGTCATGAACTACGACCTCCACTTAGAGTTCAGATCATTAGTTTCCTTCAAGAAAACCTTGACGTCTTCTCTTCGGAACACTTCGATATAAAGGGAATTGACCCAAAAATCATGTACCATAAATTGGGAGTTGACCCTTTGATTCGATCGAAACAACAACAGAGCCAACCCTTGAATCCAGAACGATATGAGGCCCTAAATAAGGAAGTACAAAAACTGCTTCAAAATGGGTTTATTCAAGAAGCAAGGTATCCGAAATGGATCGCTAACCCCGTCTTAGTTAAGAAAAACAATGGAGAGTTGAGGATGTGTATTGATTCACCGACCTGAACAAAGCATGTCCTAAAGACAGTCTTCCGCTACCAAGGATAGATCAGATGGTGGATGCCACTGTTGGGCATGACTTACTCAATTTCATGAATGCATATTTAGGCTACAATTAGATACCAATGTACGAACATAATCAAGAACACACAGCCTTTATCACCGATCGAGGACTTTACTACTATAAGGTGATGCCATTTGGTCTCAAGAACACTGGGCAACATACAAACGCTTGGTTAACACTATGTTTGCCAAAAAAATTGGTAAGACCATGAAAGTATATGTGGATGACATGTTGGTAAAGAGCATGGACGCCAAAAACCATCTACAATAACTCGCTGAAATGTTCGAAATTTTGAGGGCATAAGGGATGAAGCTGAATCCCCATAAATGTGCCTTTGGCGTGAGCTCGGGAAAATTTTTAGGATATATGATAAACCAAAGAGGGATTGAAGCCAACCCAGAAAAGATAAAGGCCATTGTTGAAATGCGTCCCCTAGCTATGCTTAAGGAAGTTCAGAACTTAATTGGGCGAGTAGCTGCCCTTGGCCGCTTCATGTCAAAATCAACAAACAAATGCAGACCCTTCTTTGAAGTATTAAGAAAGGGAAAGAAATTCGAATGGATGCCTGAGTGCCAGCTTGCATTCGACCAGCTCAATGCCCACCTCGCACAACCACCAATACTATCAAAGATAAAAACAAAAGAAGTATTGTTGTTCTACTTGGCAGTGTCTAAACATGTTGTTAGTGCAGTACTAACTAGGGAGGAGATAGGGGTACAACACCCTGTCTATTACATTAGTAAAGCTTTACATGAAGCCGAACTCAGTTATCCCCCATTGGAAAAGTTGGCTTATGGGGTTATTATTGCAGCTCGAAAGTTAAGGCCCTATTTCTTGGAACATCCAATCAAGGTCTTAACCAATTATCCATTTAAGGCAAGTGCTGCAAAAACCTGATACCTCAGGACGGATGGTGAAGTGGTCAGTTGAGCTCGATCAATTCGACATAAGATATAAGCCATGCACCTCCATAAAGGCCCAGGCCCGACTGACTTTATTGCCGAATTCGGCTCGGACCCCAAGTTAAGCTCAAGCTAGCCTTGTGTCGACATGAATGGTCAGAGTCGTACACATATATAGTGGAGTCAGCATAAATAATCTCCACGGCAATCCAGTGATGATTCACGATCACTAGAATGTATATATGTGTACAACTTTCACATGGCTTTCTCCCACCACTCGGCCACATCCCTACAATCCACTCGACCATATATTCGGGCAACACGTACTCATGACCCATATGTTGAATGGACTGATGCTCAATGGTAACGGCACGTTCGAACTCAGTGCTCAATATGAGTTGGTTAGGAATGTCGAATGATATTGGATATCTTCGGGTTCGATCACGCAATACGTTCATGGCCAGGTCGATATGCTACACTAGGAAACACCAATAAAAAATAGAGGGAATTATTTCATTTCATAAACAAAAAAATTATGTATACATAATAAATAATAATATGATTATTTCACTTACATCGTCGAAGAGGTGATGCCGTGAAACCATTTATAGGCCTTTGAAATAGTCCCCCCCCACGTTCCGGCTATCTCTGAAAAAAAAAAACAAAAAAAATGTTAAAAGAAATACAAATTAATTAGGGTAGCGTACTTAACTAAAATTGTAAAAAACTTACCCGAGCCTAATTCTTCTCCACTCCGTCTCTAAAGCTTTCCATTTGGCTGCGTCCACCTCTAGGAAGAGATTGGGGCATGTTCTGTCGACGAACGTCCTCCTCTTTACCTCAGTCGTGAAGGGAGATACAATGTACTGTGACGGCAATCTCGTCCTCTTGCCGACCACCTGCTCCTACTTCGACACGTCAACAGCACGCATCTTACCCTTTGTCATGATCGGCGTCCTCTCCTTCTCGTCGAGGCCCTCCTCCGTCATCTGGAGCACCCCTCCACTAACCCTACCCGTCGACTAGCCCTTCCGCCACCCCTTCGCTTTGACCACCACGTCGACCACCCCCTCCGTCGATCCCTTCGCCTCGACCACCTCGTCGGCCAGCCCCTCCTCTTTGGCCATCGACTCCGCCTCGAGCACCTCCACCTCCATCATCGAGGCCTCCACCGCCTCCCAAAATGCAGTATCTGGCCACAACAGAGAATCGCCCCATCTATTACCCTCTCCGTCGCCCCATCTATCACCCTCTCCATCATCCCATCTATCACCCCCTCGTAGTTATACTATATCGCCTCAGAGCGTTACGACCTGTACCTCAAGGTCTGCTACATGGCTATAGAGTACTGCAACATTGCAGCGTCCCTACCTCTCGTCGTAGTGCCCCCACCTTCTCTCTCATCTCCCCTCGTAGCGTGCCTACCTCCTCTCTTATCTCTACCATAAATCCAGCTAGAAGATCATACAGATCACTATACGCAAGGGATCCACGTGGGAGATGCCTAGATGGAGGAAGAGATCTCATTGGCAACAAAGGTGATCCCATCGGCGGCGGAGGCGATCGTCGATCCACTG